ATCATTTACTAAATAAGTAGAATATTCACTCAACAAGGTGAGTTTAGTAAATAAGGTGAAGCTGCGTTCCCAGTAAGGGAGAACAGGGTTTTTTTTCTTACATAGGATTGAATGATTGGAGCGAACACAGCTTCACTTATATCATAATCTACCTGAAACAGTCCCTCATTCTTTAGTTAATCAACCCAGTAAGAAAACCTGGGACAAGCAGTACTATAACAAAATGTACTGTCCTCATTCTTTGGGAAAGTGATCCAGGTGAACTTTGGTGGTTGCCCTGGGCAAACATTTTCTGACTATTCTCTCTCCATTATTGTTTTTTTTTTTTTTTGCTAGTTTTGAAATGGAATAAAAATAGCTGGCCCGGTGTAATATTGCCCCCCTTAGTAAATCACCCCTGTGACTAAATTGTAACTGTGTAGGTATACACACAAGTATCCACTTGAAACTGACATAATATATTAAACGTAAACCGGAAAGTAGCTGTAATGAGCTCAGTGGCAGCATATTTCATACCAGGCAAAACGATGTCACACTGAATAAACAAACTCAAACAAATGTGGACGTATAGCCGGCTCTCATCTGTCCTGCCCTCCTCCATATACACAGAGCTGGCAATGCCTGCGGGATCCATAATTAATATTAACAGCTCATCTGAAATCCCTGCCCACCATTCTATACAAGAAGGCCTAGAAAGCATATTGTGTGTTTGCCATGGAAGTATAAAACTAGTTTCCGGTTAGATAAACCCTTACGTCCTGGCATGTTATATATCTGCCCTCATGTAAAGCTCTGCGAGTGCTAAATCCGTTTGTTACCCAAGTACATTATACAATCACTGCTTTTTGTTGCCCACTAAGCATTGTCCAGCCTGTATGATATCAAAAACAATGGGTGGATTTGTCTCTACTTACATACACACAACACCATAGTTGTAAATTTTTTTTTTGCTGTAATAGCAATGGTACATAAAGCAGTACCGAATTCTACTGCTACGCTGATGCTATTGCTTTATAGCCATATAAAATACGTATCACTTCACCTATCATTTACCTGAATTTTGTAATTACAATAAAAATAAAACAATGGAATGTGCAGGATATACTGACACCAGTGATATCAACTTGCAGTGGTGTCAAACAAAACACACACCTTTATAATTGTACTTGAGTATCACAGCCCAATTAAGAAGTCTATTACTTTTGTGAGATAGGCAATTAACAATGAGTACATTTTTCTATAATGTCACAGGTGTGTTTACCCAATAACACGCCCAGATCTGCTAATTCTCTATGTGTGTGTGTGAACCACCGCATGCAGACAAATGTAAAGCCAGCATCAGCCTTTCATGACTGGCAGTGCTAGTATATATTATTTTTATTTTTATTGAAGTCAAATAGTTCCTGTAGAGTAGGGGCCTTTGCTATCACAGACTCGCTACTATTTTAATACACCATTACAGAGCAAAATTCAGGCACATGCTGATATAGATAAGCATTGATGTTAGATCACACCATAATCATAATATGTAATAATGCAGATGCACTATATTTATAAGCTATCAAGGTCATGAATTAAGTCATTATGTAGTATATAGATTAGGCGTAAAGCATTTTTACATCTTAGTATCCATCTATTTATTTACCAATTGGATTTTAACGAAGCAGATCTGGGACTGACATATAACAATATAATTTAATACACACTAATGTGACATTTTACAGGTAGCTGTTAACAGATTCTCCAGGTTAATGTAGTGCCTGTTGCCCCTCATACTCCCTCTTTTGTCATTTCTACAGATTATTGGAGTAATATTCCCTTAATAGATAAATTGGTGCTGGTGGGGCCTCTGCTGTCTGATAACATTGTCTCTCCCTCTCACACAGCACGGATTACTGCCCATTCTCCTGGATGGAGAGCCATTAATTACCATTCAGTCAATATTAGGCAAAAGACAATGCTTTTTACATAGGATTAAGCAGACATCAGATTGTTCCATTAGTATATTCCTGCTCACGCCAACATCTTTCCTTATACATTCTCATTCCCTCGAGTCAGCCCAGCTACACTTGCATATATTATTGGTAAGCAGGGGGGGGGGGGGGGGAAATAGGAAAACAGCTGAGGGAAAATGGTTTTCGATGAGACACTTACAAGTAGTGCTGTCACATATCTGACCATGTTCCTAATTAAATCGACCTTAATTAACGTTATTTTCTTTTTGCAAGCCTTCAATATTTAGCTTCAGTAGAGAAAAATACAACATAATTTGTATATAAAGAATAGCAAAGGAAAAATTAAGGCTTTTCCCGTAGCAACCAATCAAACTTCGATTTTGTTTTTTAAAGTGCGCAAGAAACACGGCAGTGCAATCTGACTGGCTGCTTTAGGTAACACCCCCACTCTCCTTTTTTCCATTTAAAAAAAATAAATTCCGATACATGCTGGTTATATATTATTTGAAATTTGAAAATGCACTCTAAACAGAATAAATAGCAAATAGCTTCTTTTTTATTTGCTGTTTTTTTTTTTTTTTAAACGAGCAATGTTGCATGGATTTAATATAATATGGCGTGTACATTCATTCTGATTTACGTAAAAATGTACAAATAAACAAAAAAAAAACCCTGAATAATACACATAAAACATATAACACATTTTTTTCTTTGATATGTGTTCCCAAAAAGAATTGCAACACAACAAATTAGACTGAATATAGTAACAGGCAACAATCTCTTTCTCTCTCTCTCCCTCTCTCTCTCCCCCCCCCCGCTCTCAATACTTTGGGGCAATTCTATTGCATGAGGATAGAGAGGACGTAAATATTATTATTATTATCGGAAAATTGAGCGGTATAAGGGGCACACAAATCACAATCTTGATTTACGGTTCTATTATAAAAATTTGGTGGATACCGAGTGATTCTCTAACTGAAGAGTCTGTCATTCGTGCGGCTTGCTCTCTTGTGTTTTCTCAGTGATCAATCACTTATTTTTATTAGCAAATAGTAGTGCCTTGCCACAACCATGGAGGGACCTTTCAGATTTCTGTAATAATCTCATTCAATCATAGACAGAACTCACCCTGGTTTTACAGAACAGAAATTACAGTTCAAAGAGAATCAGAATACTGGGACAGACTGCAGTCAGAACCAGTGCATTCAAGGCTATGGCAAGGAGGAGGATGGCACAGAGAAGGGAAAAAAAACAAACAAACATATATAGTAATGTATATTGAAATATATTAAAAACATTATTTACTGCAATTGTCTTGACAATTGGTGTAAAGCTGTGCTTTTATTTGCTGAAATGTATCCTAATATTAATGAGATTAAAAATACAGGTAATTTCTGGTGGGATAAAGATTCTCTCTCATTTACTAAGACTATACATTTTTACAGCTATGTGTCGGGTGTACTAATGGTGTAAGCTTTAGCTTACTCACTGTAAAAACACAATAAAAGTTAGGGGGAAGAAAAAAAAAAAAGAAAAAAAAAGAAATCGATCAGCTTAGCAAATAAACCTATATTTTGACTTCAGAAACTGATATATTATATGGTTATAAAGGGTTTTACTAATCCCAATGACATCATAATTATGGGGCGATTACCAAACCAACACAGCTTTAAACTGGCAGGAAGAAACACATAAGATTTTCCATTGATCAAATAGATAAGTGCACAAGAAATTGTCCCTGAAAGCTTTTAATAAATGACAACTAAATAAATAGGTAGATGGATGATAGAAAGATAGATAGATAGATAGATAGATAGATAGATAGATAGATAAATAAATAGATATATAGAATATAGATAATAGATAGCTAGATAGCTAAATAGATAACTAGATAAATAAATAGATAGATAGATAGATAGATAGATAGATAGATAGATAGATAGATAGATAGATAGATACAACACGGCAAATTGACCGACAATAATAGGGTAATTTCTTCGTCTACCTAGGACTATTACAAATCTATACCGCCAGAGGACGCCATAGGATCATATCTGGAGAAAGCCTGCAGCACCAAGCACAATAGTGGCTTCTATTCAGCGCCACTTAAATAAACTGTAGGTCGGTAATATTGAAAGGGTCATTTTTCTTTTAGTGAACCAGAGCAGCCCATTCCCCTTAAAATACTCAATCCTGTTCAGTAATTTAAAAAAAAGGACTTTCTTTATTCCCTTGTGCATGATTTTTAAGTGAACACACTCATGGAAACTTAAAATGATTACTTTGCTAAATCTTCTTATATTAGTGCCTTCTGCATCCTCAGTCTCAATAAAGAACACTGAATTACTCCCCAATTTCCAAAGCCGTAGTTCTGCAAAGTTGCAGATATCAACAAAGCAACTGGGTCAAATATATAATAAAAATTATAATAATCATCATCATCATAAGAGCAAGGAAGAAGTTGCTGGGTTGTATGGCCTCATGGTATTGTAAATTAGGCCCAATACTGTGTTCTGTTTTTCTGTCCAGCCGGTTGTAGGTCCTTGTAAGGCTAATTAAAATGCCCTAGAAAGCCATGCTTTGATGTCGGTTGGCTCGGCAGTCCCATTGAGTCCCCGTACAACAGAAAAGTCTCCTCTGCTCATATCAGGTTCCCTTAGAGAAGAGGCTCTCCACTGCAGAGGGCTGAGCTGCACATTTCAGACAGAAAGGAGATTTAGACATGGGGCTTACAGCAGGAGGAGGGGAGACTGACCTCTGTCCCAGTCTGGGGGTCACCAGTTCCTAGTCTAACCCAAGTCTATGCAATTTCTCGCACTAATGGAACAAACGCTTACAATTTCCTATTCACATTTGACATGAAACTGTACATAGAAATCTCGATCCTCCACAGTCACCTCTTCACATCCATACAATGACAAAACTGCTTCTTACCTGATTGGACACAGGCTGTCACCAGCTTGCGACAGTTAGACTCCATTTTCTTTGTTGTCTTATTATCTGCAAAATATTTGAAAAGCAAGGGGAATCGTGATTTTCATGGATACCTGTAATTCATAATACTTCATTTTTCTTTCTTTCTTTCTTTCTTTCTTTCTTTCTTTCTTTCTTTCTTTCTTTCTTTCTCTGTCTGTTTTCTATATTATCTATCTATCTATCTACTTTCTATATTATCTATCTATCTATCTATCTATCTATCTATCTATCTATCTATCTATCTATCTATCTCTCTCTCCTATATTCTCTCTCTCTCTCCTATATTACTCTGTATTCTCTCTCTCTCCTATATTCTCTCTCTCCTATATTCTCTCTCTCTCTCTCTCCCCACAAGTGATGATACATCTAACACTTACTACATAAGCATAAAGTACAAAGCAAACAATCTAGAACATTATGGTAAGATAGCAGCGTGCAGTCTACCTCAATGTGTAATTTCACAAGCTCCAGGCTGCATAACTCATCATTAATTAACGCCATTACCTTCTAGGAAAACATTAGCTAATTATAGAAAGCGCTGTCTCTTCCAATACTCATTTGTTCAATTATATTTCCGTTAATAAGAGTCCACCTAGGTCAGATACCAGCCGATAAGTGGCCAATGAAAGCCATTGTTATATATAAATACACTGGGTCTGATTCAGTAGCTAGGGCCCTAGTCTGGGTTCACTACTAATTCCCAATCAGGATCAAGTCCTTCAGCACCTGGTTGGGTATATGGAAGTGACCACATGCCATGGTAAAAATCAGTTCTGTAGTCAGCCTCAAAGTATTATATATGTGAAGATTTTTGTACACAAGTTTATTAACTGAAATACTGGTCCCATCTTGGTCTGTAAATCAATGAACCCAAGTAGATTAAGGGACAACTAAAAATAAGAATGTCTCCTTCTTATATTTGGTGGGAACACAATCTCTTTAGTACATCAGTCCAATGATGTTTGGTAGCAAACCCTGACAAGTTCATCCTTCCTCCCCATGCAGCACACAGAAGTTGTTTGTGCTTTGTACATTCAGTGTTAATTAGGATGAAGTCAGTGATTGCTCACTTGTGGTGTGAGAACAATTAAGAAGAGTGTAATAGAGCCAGTGGGCAGCAATCACTGTGCAGGCTCCTGACACTCCCACCACCCCAGGAAGCAGTCACTATTATGTTTACTATTTTCACTGACTTTTTTTTTCCCTTTCTCTTTTCCAGTCTCTCCTGTGTTTTTTTTCCCAGGCTTGTGCCAAAGAGAAGCAGAAGTTTGGCTGCCCCATCTTTGAATGATTCTGCAGTAAAATCTCAGGATTAGTGCCTGATTGAGATGTCTGTTCCTGAGATATTACAAAATTCATTATCACAGCTCTCTACTAACTCGATATGAAGTAACACAGATGGGATTTTATTAGCCCAGGATTGGAATGTTTACTTATGATAATTTCGGGGGAAATTTGCATGTCATCATCTCGGTAATCTTTTTTTTTTCTTTTTCCTTTTATGTCTGCATTGGCTGAATGATTACTTGATGTCTGGATTGATGCTTACTGCTGACTGGGAGCTGAGGCCTAATTATTACAAGAATCATTTTTAGATAACCTATGGCAGGGTCAGCACTTTTCACTTTCACACGTTCTCTCTGATTTTGCTCTTACATTTTCTCAAATATTACACATGACATTAGCCTTATCATGTCACCATCCCATAAAAAAATGTTCCTGCTTTTGTGACCTGTAAGAAACATTGTGCAATATTACTGTTAGTCTAAAGTGTGGACATCACAAAATAACATTGTACAATATTTACTATTAGTTTTACATTGTAACCATTACAAAATAGACCTTTCTGCTGGTTGTGTCCTGTTAGAAACATTAAACAATATTCACTTAAGTGTCACTTAAAAAAATAGACTTTCCTGCTTGTGTGCCTTGTAAGAAAAATGTGTTAATTAATCCCTGTTTTGCAGTGTAACTATTACAAAATGGCTTTTGCTGCTAGTTGTGTCCTATTAGAAACATTGTACAATATTCGCTATAGTGTCACGTCACAAAATAGCCTTTCATTTTCCGTACAGTTATAGTTTTGCAGTGTAACTATCATAAAATAACCTTTTCTGCTCTTGTGCCCAGTAAGAAAAATTTTACAGTATAAACTATTCGTTTATGGTGTAAAAATTACAAAATAGCCTTTACTGCTCTTTTCTTCTGTAAGAATTATTGTGCCGTATTCATTTTTCCTACTGAATTATGACATTGATGTGCTGTTTATGCGGGATACTACACACATTTGATGATGATAATATTAATAATAATATTATTATTATTATTAATAATAATCATAAAACAAAACTGAACATTTTTTATATGTGTGTTGTGTGTTTATAAATATATATCTTTTAGAATTAGAATGTAATAATGATAATAACAATAATAATTATTATAATAATAGCAACATTATTATTATTATTATTATTACTACTACATTTATGCACACTATAACGTGACATACATCAGATGACCAAGCCAGCGGATGTTATTCTAGTGCAGAGGTGTATACATTCCCACAGAGATGTGTTTATGTTTCTAGGCACCTCACCTGCAGCTGACAGCAGACAGGGGATCATACAGGTAGCTGCTTGTAATGTGTGAACAGTATGAGTTCACAGGATGGTAATAACAAGACTTGCAGGCCTGTTTCCAGCACTGTGCCATTATGTTGTAAACACTTGTAGAAAAGATGGGACCACCAAGCTGCTGGCGACCCCGCTACTCAATTTTAACTTGATTTCATGTTTCAGTATGCTTCAATGCTAGATACATAAATCCAGCAATTCACAATGTTACAGCCAGCTGCTGGGCAGCTTCCAGGCCATAGAGAAAGCAGTCTCATTATAGTCCTAATACGCTTTTTACACACCATAGACAGTCTGCTGTGTAAATGATGGTAACACTTAAAGCAAGTTTTTGAAACATTCCACTTGTGATGTGTGGAGAGACAGAACTGGATAAAAGAAAGTGCGATATGTAATTTTATGTCTGGGCCACATTTAGCAATATTTCACACATATCAGTATCGTGTTAACAGTCCTCAGATCTCAAACCATCTGGGTTTGCTTTGTCTTCTGTTGCAAACTTGTCTGACATTGAGGGAAGTACTTGAGTTGACTTTGTTAATATACACATAGCATTGTAGCCACCCTGAGAACAGGACATAGCTGTCACTAACTAGAATCTGGACACACATGGTGAAAAGGGCTTTTTTTGTATAAAACAAAAAATATTAAAGCACCACGTATGCAAAGAATGAGGACATACTATTACATTTTTTGAATGCATGGGGTCACAGCCCTGGGGCCCAACTCTTTATCAATGGCTTGCATATTATTAAGAATATGTTCATTCAGAATCCATCAATCAGAGTGCGTTAGTAACTATACTACCTTATGTGTCCTTGTATACCAGTTGCTATTTGACAGATACATCCTGTTAATGCATGTTGCATAAAGTATAGCTTCCAAAATCAGCACTTTTATAGTCTGGGCAGTGTGAAGAGTTGATTTGCATTCATTCTAAAGCAGTCATTTTACTCTGCTCCTCGTTCACTTTAGACATCAGAATCAGGGAACTTGGGACCATTTTCTGGAGCCTAATGTGTATTTAAAGTCAACTCAGATCAGTGTAAAATACTTCTGTGAATTAACCCTACATGATGCACACATATGTGTTTTAATGTCTAAGTTCTAGTTTGTTTGCTCTGCCGTGTATAATTTGCAGAGACAGGCAGCCCCCGGAGCTGTCAGAACCCCCTCTAGGTCTCTGGCTGGGACATTGTACAAATACACATGCAGTGCACATATCAACAGTAGAGAGCCATCTAGGCAGTAAAAGGGATTATATATCAGAAGGTGATCTGTTACTCGGCACAGGCCCAGGTGGAACAAATGTATGAACTTTCATGATCTCACATCTGCAGGCTACAGCTAGGCTACATGTGGACTTACCTGCTGTCTGATGGGCTGCTCTTTCTTCAAGACCCAAATCCTCAGTGCAGGCTTGGCTGGGGCATCACACAAATCAGCGAAGTGACTGAAGGATCCCAAATGCAAAAGAAAACCAAAAGCAATGTCCTATAAGTTCCTGTGGGGTTCCTGATAAGGCTGTGAGAAGAGAGGTGTCTGCTCACGGCTCTCTCCTTCTCACTGTTTGCCTCCCTCTCTCTCCCTTTCTGCAGGGGGAATGACGTGACGTCAGCAGAGATTCCACCAAACTCAGTCAGCAGGGCTGGAGGGAGGAGAGGGGTCAGGGGATAGACACACACACACACACACACACACACACACACACACACACACACACACACACACGGAGGGATAGACAGGGAGCACAACCAAAATCTCATCACCAGGTCAGGGAAATCAGAAATATCAAGAAGAATAGGGGGCAAAGGACACACAGAGAAAAGCACAGTGCTGAGGGATTAGCAAAGTGATAAAAACTAGAAAAATGCTAAAATCTGATAAATCTACTGGAGATCTGGCGACTTTGTAATAGGATTCAATCATGTAGCTGTAAATCTCCACCCAGAAATTAAAATGTTTGATAATTTAGCTGTATTGTAACATTTAAGAGGGCTGATCTTGTTACATTTTTGTGTAGCTATTGAAAATATGTGTATTTCATTTTCACAATAATCTGCATCGGTGCCTAGTGAAATTAGAAGTGGAAATACACAGGGAATGCCACCAGTTTTATGTCTGGGATGATATGTACCTTTATGTGAAAAGGGAGTTCTGTGAAAGATGAACATATAGTGCAAATGGTGTACAATATACCCTACAAAAAAAACACCCACATGACTAATCCCAGATTGCTCATTGAGAGGGCCGCTACTGCTGGTGTGTGAGCAAAGTGAGACATTAGAGAGCTCTGCAGATGAATTAATAACATTAAATACCCTACACCTTCTAAGAACCCGAACAACAAGCTTGCAGCCAGCAAGTTCACATGGGGTCTTTGATAAACCATTTTTTTTCAACGCAGAACATGAAATGTATGCATAGCAGTGTTATACAAGAAGCACAAGCCTGGTACAATCTGTCTTCTCCTAAGAGGGAAATGTGAGTTTGCCATCACACTCATCTGTTTACCTCGATCCAGCTGCTAGCTGGAAAGTCATT